ATTAAAATGAGAATGAGCTGGTCTCTGAAGGAGAAACATCTCACCCTATGGCCTGTGACCTCAGTGCTTATGACCTATGTCCAGCAGAAATATAAAATGAGCTCTGTGTAATTTACAGTGTTCTAGGAGTCACATGAAAAAGGTTAAAAATGACAGGTAAAATTAATTTTAATAGTAAATTTTATTTAGCCCAGCATATCCAGAATATTATGATTTTGCCATGTAATAAATATTAAAATTATTAGTGAGCTATTTTACAGTTTTTGTACCAAGTCTTTGAAATCTCATGTGTGTCTTGCACTTAGGAGCACATTTGAATTTGGACTAGCCACATTTCACATGCCCAGTTGCTACATGTGGCTAATGACTGCCATATAGAACAGCACAGACCTACTACACAGCTTACCTGAGAGATCCTAACAACACACCACATGTGTCTCAAGAATATTATTATTATTATTATTATCTGAGATGGAGTCTACTCTGTTGCCCAGGCTGGAGTGAAGTGGCATGATCTTGGCTCACTGCAACTTCCATTTCCCGGGTTCAAATGATTCTCCCGCCTTAGCCTCCCAAGTAGCTGGAATTACAGGCGTGCACCACCACGCCTGGCTAATTTTTGTATTTTTTAGTGGAGACAGGGTTTCACCATTTTTCCAGGCTGATCTTGAACTCTTGACCTCAGGTAATTCTCCCACCTCAGCATGAGCCACCATGCCCGGACAAGAATAAGTTATTTAGTCTTGAATTAAGATTTCACTGAACATCTACAGCTCCGTCTGTGATGTCCTGTACTTGCTCAGTGGGGCCAGTTTTCCCCATTCCAAGATGAAAACGTGGACAGTACTGAGACTGTTCTGATCTCTCTTAGGTCCTACAGTCATTTTATATGACCAAACACAACAATTCAGAAACGCAACGTTTAGTTCCAAAGTTAAGTACCATTTCCTCCAGCAAGGCCTTTGCCAGCATGGGAAGGCGCAAAATGGGGAAACAGATCCTCAACCTTATGCTTCTCTCCCTCTTCTGTCTTGCTAATGGTGGTTTCTAAGCCTCCAAGGTTGAGTAGAATGGGGAATGGTTGGGGGAAGGAGTGGTCTGGGGCGCGGAGCAGGCATGGTTTACAAGAGGGCTTTGCATTCTCTGGGACCGTCAGGTGCTTACAGGCGATTCCTCCTCCTAGGGTGCTTCTTCAGGGATTCCTCACCCCTAATGCCAAGCAGTTGCAAATGAGGCTTTCCATCCTCAGTTTATTCCTCCCACATTCCATAGGAATGCAGTAATCACTCAGCTTCTCTCTGCTGAGACCTGTTTACGCCTGTAGGTGGCCACATCAGACAGGATGAGCTCAGCTCCACAGGGGCTCGATCCTAGCACCTAGTCTGCTGGAAACACTTACACAGCCTTGCCCTGAAAACCTGGGATAAAGGTTCCCAGTGCATCCTCCTTTCCTACACTCCCACCACCAGGGCAGAAAAGCAAACCATTAGGTTTGCAGACAAATGTCAGATGCCAGCCCATTGTAGGCTGTCCAGTGGGAAGGGGGAAGCTTATTCTGGACAGTAGAAAAAAAGAGTTGAAACTATTCTGAATTATATACATAAAATGATATTGCTTACTTAATACCTGAAGGGAACAAGAAAAACTCTGGAGCTTTCTTGATCTAGTGACATGAAAGAAAGATGGGGCCACGTGCGGTGGCTCATGCCTGTAATCCCAGCACTTTGGGAGGCTGAGGCAGG